TCTGTAAACAAGGGATTTTCCAAGGGAAAATCGTTGAACTTACTTTTGTGATTGAATCATCAATTCAAGCCAAACATTAATCAAATAGGAACAATTTCACTCAAAGTATACCTAGACACAGGAGAACCATTGTCGTGAAAGTGTTGTACAGTCGATTACGAATTTAGATTGCAGAGAGTTTGTTCTGAGCGCTAAAGGCACTCACGATAGAGCACATTTTGCTTTATTCTAACAATGAACAGATAAACAGATTGAACTTGCAGCATGTCAGGCTGACGTAGAGAGAATTCTGAGAATTTCCACTGAGCTGGAGAAGAAAGAGTCAAAGTCAAAAGTTGACAGAATGTTCTCACTTTTTACAATATATTGCAAGCAACGAGTGAATTGGTTGATAAAGTAGGGTCTCTGATAGATCTATATACTTCTATAGACTGTAAATTCATATACTTAGAAGGCAACAATACCTGGACAGCTAAATCGCAGTCAATTGAACAGGTAGATTGCAGGAGGCAGTGGATCGCTTACTTCTAACAACGCAAGCATCGAGAAAGAGAATTGAAACTGTTGAAGAATACGTTTAAATCTGGTATTCGTACCAAAGAAGGAAGTTGCAGTACTAATGACAGTAAAGCTATCCTTGAAGCACAGCACAATCTATGTTTCCAACAGATTGGGAATGAGATGAAAGCTGATTATGAAGAGCACGATGCTATTCTGATCGCTTGTTGCATGATGCAGATCAAGGCCAAGTTCGATTCTGATGAAGGTCTGAACTTCATTCAACAGTATTACATCAATCAAGGACTGAAGAAGTTTGGTGATGATGGAAAGGGTGCTGTGGATAAGGAATTGAGACAAATGCTCCTGAGAGATTGTTTTACTGCTCCGGAATTTGTTAAAGACATGACCGTGTCTGAGCAAAAAAAGGCCCAATCAGCAATGATATTACTCGCGGAGAAACAATTTGAAAAGACAATTAAAGGTCGCCTAGTATACCAAGGCGATGGAACTCGTGAATGGTTATTGCAAGAGGACACTACAAGTCCAACTGCTTTGCAGGAAGCAATCACCACTACTTGTGTTATTGATGCACACGAAGGTAGAGATATAATGACGATGGACGTGCCTAACGCTTTCATTCAAACTTATATGCCTGAAGCTAAGGAAGGAGAAGATCGTATCTACATGAAAATCACTGGCATGATGGTCCAGATATTGATTGACATGGCCCCAGAGTATCGCGAATACGTTGTATTAGAGAACGGAAAGCGAGTAATCTATGTGCGGGTACTACGTGCTATATATGGGATGTTGCAATCGAGCCTCCTATTCTATAATCAGTTTCGAAGTGATTTGGAGGCAAAGGGATTTGTTTTCAATCCGTATGACCCGTGTGTTGCTAACAAAGTTGTTTATGAAAACAGCAAACTATCAGGTTTCATGTTGACGATCTTATGTCAAGTCACATGGATCCGAAAGTAAATGACGAATTTGCTAAGTGGTTGAACATGAGATATGGTACGATCAAGGCATGTACAATCGTCAGAGGAAAGATACACAGATATCTTGGAATGACTTTGGATTTCTCAGTGAAAGGAAAACTCAAGATCTGCATGGACGACTATGTCAAGAACATGTTGGAAGATTTTCCTATCAAGTTCAACAAGGATTCAAAGCAGGAAACACCAGCTGGTAACGATTTACTGGAAGCTGGTAAAGGGAAGTTACTCAGTGCTGAGTACCGTCAGATCTTTCATACTACTGTTGCAAGGGAACTTTATGTCTCTAAGAGAGCTCGTTTGGATATCCATCCAACGACTACTATTCTTGCCTCAAGAGTTCGAGAGCCTACAGAGTCTGATTGGAAGAAGTGTGTTCGCATGATGCAATATTCGTTTTGTACATTGTTGTATCACCTGACACTTTCTGCAGAATCACTACAAGTAATGAAATGGATGATCGACGCATCATTTGCGGTGCATCCAGATTTCAAGAGCCATACTGGTGGCACTCTGTCCTTTGGAGGAGGTGCAGCTCAAGCGATGTCAAAGAAGCAAAAGCTAAACAGCAGAAGCAGTACGGAAGCGGAACTGATTGCTGTTGACAATGTTGTCACGATGATACTATGGACAAAGTTGTTCATGGAGTGGCATGGGTATCCTATCAAGAAGAATATCTTGTATCAGGATAACAAAAGCGCGATTCTACTGGAAGAGAATGGTCACAATTTCTTTATCACAGATCAAGTTGAGAAAGGAAATGTTAAGATCGAATACTGTCCAACTGACTGTTGGAGGTATTGATATACTGAGCAATCATATTGGTCGATTGTTGATCAATGGTCTATGTGACGTGACGCGGCAGTGACATGAGTGTCGATCATGCGTGGTATGAAACGCAGTATGTCCGAACAAGTCATCATGTAGAAAGGTGATCAAGAATGAGAATTGTGAGAATTTGTAATATGATCCTGAACTTCAATCGACAGTCTCACTATCGATTGAGTTCTGGCAAGGATAGTATTGTGGACATTGAGGTCCAAGCAAGTATAGGATATAAAGTAAGACCTTTGATTGAATAATACTACTGCTTGTTCCAGAGGCTGAGGCCCAGAGTCGCTGGTGCCCAAAGGCAGACCATAGCCGACGTAGACTCGATCTCAGGGACTGCTCATTGAAACAGACAGGGCGTTGAGGCTCCCATTCAGGTCTGTAGAGCAAGTCCATCTGACACTCAATCGATAGTGAGACTATTTACAAAAGAGACAATGACACAACGCAACGAAAGTAGGAGAGGAGGTCGCGGTGGCAATCGATTCGGTGGAAATCGCCAGACAAGTGGCAATTCACAGAATGCAAAAAAGAAAGAAAAACGATCGCCCAAGTATCATCCAAGCGACCCAGATTTTCCTTATGCCGATGTAACACGGAGCCTCATCGAACGAATTGGAATGGAGGGATTGGAGTATCCTCAGATTATGATATCTTCCATCAAAGAATTGAATGAGCCAGACTGGGATGGTTTGAAACCCACATTGGATTTAACTGGCCAAGAAGACAAAATTGAGAGAGAGGCAAAGAAGGAAGAATTGAAAACGGAGAGTGTCGAATATCATCAACAAAAGCAATACTGGAGCAAAGGGAAGTGGCATGTGCATTCGCTGATTATGGAGTCATTTGTTACCAGTAAAATGAAGGACAAGATTCTATAGGAGGTCGATTACAATGAGAAAATCGAGGGTGATCCTATTGAACTATTGAGACGCATCAATAAATTTATGACGACCAGTGATGTGACAGACTGGGAACCCATTACATTGTGGGAAGTACTACAGAAGTGGGTGAATTGTTGTCAGAAAGGAAATGAAACGGTGACTGAATACCGTAAACAATTTGAAGAATGCGCAACTACAGTATTATCTTTCATGGGTGAGTCGTGGCTAGATGTGTTTGCCTCAAAAACGACCGCATATCATGAAATTGAAAACAATCACCCGACCAATGGCTTGTCGGATAGAGAAAAGAAGCGAGTTGCAGCACAAGTCAAAGAACTTCAACACAAATTTCAGGACGAGTTTGTAAAACTGTTCTGCGCTGCTGGATTATTGCACAACTGTGATCGTGCACGATACCAGTCGGTACTTGATCATTTTGTTACTGCATACGCTGTGGAACACGTGGATTATGCTCAGCAAGATTTATTCCCAAGAGATGTGGAAACTGCAGCCAAGGCGCTACACAATCATCGGGTAAAGAAAACAACAACACCGAAACATAACAACAACAACAACAACAACAACACAAATGATAAAACGAACACACCACAGAACGGTACTAACCTTGCACAGGATTTCAATAAGGGGAGTAAGCGTAAGTGTTTTTGCTGTGGTAAGACGGATCATGTTGCACCGCGATGTGAACATCGATTCCTACCCAAGGAACAATGGAAAGATCCAACAAAGTGGAGATCGTATCCCAGGACCGAAACGGGACGCGACCAGGTGCACCTACAGACAGGCACCGAGGAGGGATCTGTGCAGTCAAGTGTTACAGCTAACACCGCAGGTACACCCGCCAACAATGATGGCAGTATTTCTCAGCAGAACCACATGCAGACTGGTTCGGCTGACAGGAGTGGTGGACCACAGCCTTGAAAGCAAAAGATTGGCATTCAGGGGTGGAATATGGCTCAGTTTGGCGGACGTAAGAGACAACCGCAGCCTATTTTAAGACCTTCAAGATTTGGGACGTCACCACCACACGACATAATGGCAAACTGGCAGGTACAATTGGATGCTGTGAGGGCAGCCAAAGAGGACGTCAGTGTTGCAAGTACACAGAGCTCCAACGTACAGGTTGGCAGGGAAGTAGCTGTGATGCATTCCCAAGCTCATCGGTGACTTAGGTACAAGGATAGAGGCGATCTGGCATATCTTGATTCAAATGATTATAAGGATGGTAAGATTCCGGAGCATTTTGATATGCATGACCCGAAGTGGTTTCGTTTGGGCGCAACAGGTCCGTCCCTTGACACTGGTTCGACATTTCATCTTCGCAAAGATTCGATGAATGCAAAGATGGGAACATTAAAAGAGCTTCCGTATATGTTCAATTATGGAACAAATGTCAGCGGAGGAAGGAATCTCACGCATGAAGTTGAGAGTAAACACATGGATAATATGTGTAAGTATGACGCTGATGCCATCTGTGATGTGGACAGTGCGTCTTTATTGGTAAAAGAAGGGTATCATATTGTGATGGATACCAACGTAGAAAATGCATTTATTGTTTCCAAAGATGGGAATCAATGGATTTACAGAGAGAAGGATGGGTTGTATACTTATGACCCCCACGAGGGGGAGAGTCATTGCAATGTGTGCATGGAAATTGGACCAACTGGTGATTCCTGCAGATCGTGCAGAGCCCACGGTGGTTTCGTGCCGGGTGAATCATATCATGGCAGCATCGATAATACAACTAGTCAACATACTTCCCGTTACTCTGGTCTCCAAACTGTAAAAAAAACATAGAGGGTTACACCCCACGACAAGTTGACCGAGCAAACGCTGCAAAATCCGGGTATCACATGGGTGGTGCACCAGGGATCAAAGCATTCAAAGTTGCTGTACGCTCAGGTTTATTCAAGAACTGTCCCATCAGAGAAGAGGACATTGTTATTGCTGACAAGATTTATGGACCAAGCGCTTCAGTTCTTAAAGGCAAGACTAAGCGTCCTACCCCGGAAGCAGTCCGGGATGATTGGGTTGAGATCCCATGTGAATTGTTGGTCCACAAAATTGATTTGAATTTGCATCTGGATATTGCATTCATCAATAACACATTCGGATTGACCACAATTGATGGTAGTATCCGATACCAAACTTTTGTACCACTACAAAGCAGGACTGCGGAGTTGTTGTATGACGCAATCGATCACGTATTGCGCATTTACAACCATGCTGACTTTACTATCAAGACTATCTACTGTGTTGGTGAATTTCAACCAGTTTTTGATGATGTTAAAGATGAATTATGCAAGCCAGGGGGAACACGATCCCACGGCGGAACAAAACAACCAACATATCAAGGCGTTGTTCCGTGTCCGATACCATCGCATGCCGCATAAGGCCATTCCAAGGATTATTACTGAAGCTATTGCCAAACGAGTTGCACAGACTTCCAACTTTTACCCCGCCAAAGGGGGTATTTCGGCTTATTACAGTCCTCATATGATTTTGTTGCGACGCCAAGTTGATTACTCAAAAGAATTTGTTGCTGAACTTGGGTTGTATGTCCGTGGTTATGGGCATGATACTCGCAGTGATCATCGGTCACGCACTATTGAAGCAATTTACTTGGGACCAGCTGATAATATGCAAAAGGGTCACAAGCTCTATGATTTGAACACGAAAAGAGAGGTGACTAGACCTCAAATTACGGTGCTCCCAATCACTGATCAAGTGATCAAATTGGTTGAAGCCCATGCTGCTGAGGAAGGCGTTACAGATTTACGAACCTATTCCAGACGCAATGGAGAAATAATTTTGGATGCTGATCTGCTTGCAGGAGTGGACCCAGATGAACTGTGGGACAAAGACTATGTACCTGCAGATATTGAGAATCCATCTGTCAATGACATGAATTTGCGCAAGAATGACGCAATCTCCGATGAAGAACTCGAAGAATTAATCGAGGATGCAGCCAAAGATATATTGGAATCTAGAAGAATTGATGATAAGAGACAACACAAATATGATGAGGCAGATAGAACTGTCGACCGCATGCTGCAAAGAATTAAAAGACGTCAAGAAGAAGACGATGAAGAGGATATGGATTTTGTGCAGGATCAGCAACCTGAAAGCGATATTGAGATGGATATCGATGATGAAGAATTAAAAGATATGATTGATGAAGTAGCCCGTGAGTTGGATAGATTGAGCCAACCCATTGAAGAAGAAATAATGTTCAGCGTTGAAGATGATGACAATGACTATGAGGGTGAATATGATGCGGAAGAAATAGAAGAACTGCAAGAAGCAGAAGACGAACTGCAAGTATATCCTGACAAGGAAGATGATGTTTGTGCAGGAGTGAGGTTTGAAGAAGTCCCCGTGTTGAGTACAACAGATGATTCAAATAAAGACAAGAAAAGGAGAACACAAAGTGGACAATCATTTTATTCAAACGGAGTCAAGTATCAACCCACAGATAGGAATCAAACTGACAGACCAAGACATGGTCAGACGTACTTACAACAAAAGAAGCCCAAGATCAATTTGTTAAAGAACAGGAGTGCCATGAGAAAGAAGGCACGGTTGAAGAGATTACGTATCTCATTATACCAGGCTATCGCGTCAAAGGTAAAATCACAAAAGAAAGGAGAGTTTCAAGATGACAACGTGTTGAGCGCTGAAGCAGGAAGAAAGATAACCGAACGGGCGCATAACTTAATGTTCCAGCAGAGTGGAACTGAGAAGAAAGCGACTTACAATATGGATGAGTCGTTGGTGATTTCACGCGTCATGCAACAGATTTGTGACGAGGTGTACACAAGGGATGGAGTGTCATTTATTCAGCAGTATTATCTTAACAAAGGATTAAAGATTTTCAAAGAACGGGGAAAAGAAGCTACACTCAAGGAACTTGATCAACTGATCAAACGAAGTTGTTGGACACCCATCAGCATTGGTGAATTGACTGAATCCGAGAAGAGGAAAGCAGTCGATGCAATGATGTTACTGGCAGAGAAAAATAGTGGTGATATCAAAGGTCGTTTTGTATATAAAGGAAATGAGACAAGAGACTGGCTGTCTTGAGAGGACACAGCTAGCCCGACCGCATTGCATGAAGGTATCTGTTGCACAGGAGTGATTGACGCGCACAAGGTAGATGCATGATGTCAATGGACATTCCGAACGCATTCATTCAGACCTTGATGCCAGATTTAGGTGATGGAGAAGATTGGGTGATCATGAAGGTAACTGGACTGATGGTCCAATGTATGATCGATTTGGACCCAACCTATTGCGATTATGTTGTTTATGAGAATGGCAAGTGAGTGATCTATGTTGTGATCCTTTGTGCCATATATGGGATGTTGCAGGCCTCGTTGCTGTGGTATCGAAATCTGAGAGCTTCTCTAGAGGAGTATGGCTTTTTTTTTAATCGATATGATCCCTGCATTGCCAACAGAATGGTTAATGACAAACAATTGACAATCAGGTTCGATTTTGATGACGTTTTGGCAAGTCACATGGAACAACAAGTACTTGAAGATTTTTTCACATAGGTGAATGAAAAATATGGTGGCTTAAAAGAGGTCACATGCACTAGAGGTAAAGTTCATACTTATTTGGGTATGACATTGGATTTTTCGAAGAAAGGAAAAATGAAAATTCGCATGGATGATTATGTGGATCGCATGCTGAGTGAGTTTCCAGTCAAGTTTAAGGAAAATGAGGTCCAGGAGACACCAGCCGGAAATAATCTACTGGAGAAAGGTAAAGGGGCACCGCTTGAGAAGGAACGACATGAAGTGTTCCATTCGTTTGTTGCCAAATTGTTATTTTTGTCCAAACGTGCTCGTCTGGACATCAGTCCAACAGTATCGATTTTAGCATCAAGGGTGCAATCTCCGAATCTGAGTGATTGGCATAAACTAGTTCGATTGATGAGATACATTCATTCTACAAAAGGATGGCATCTGACATTGAGCGCTGATGATTTGCGCGTGATTAAATGGTATGTCGATGCATCATTTGCTGTTCATCCAGACTTCAAAAGTCATACTGGAGCTGTGATGACAATGGGCACTGGAACAGTGCAAGCAATTACACAAAAGCAGAAAATGAATTGAGACAGCAGTACACATGCTGAACTAATTGGAGTCCATGATGCGATGTCAAATATTTTATGGACCCGCTTATTTATGGAAGAACAAGGTTACCCAATCGAGAAGAATATACTATACCAAGATAACAAGAGTTCGATCCTACTTGAAACGAATGGGAGATCGAGCGCGGGAAAAAGGAGCCGTGCGCTAAACATCCGGTATTTCTTTGTGACAGATCAAGTTGAATTGGGCAACATTACTATTGAACACATGCCAACTGATGAAATGTGGGCAGATTACATGACAAAGCCTTTACAGGGCGAACAGTTTCGTAAATTCCGGGCTGTAGTTCAAGGTGACCAGGATTAGTCCTGATGATCGATCTTGGATATTTTACTTATATTGAGAAGTAATGTTTTCGTTCCATCCACTGGAGTCGCTGGTGAAACGACAGGAGTGTGTTGGAGGTATTGATATACTGAGCAATCATATTGGTCGATTATTGATCAATGGTCTATGTGACGTGACGCGGCAGTGACATGAGTGCCGATCATGCGTGGTATGAAACGCAGTATGTCCAAACGAGTTGTCACTTAGAAAGGTGATCAAGAATGAGAATTGTGAGAATTTGTAATATGATCCTGAACTTCAATCAAGAGTCTCACTATCGATTGGGTTCTGGCAAGAATAATATTGTGGACATTGAGGTCCAGCAAGTATAGGAAATAATAAAGTAAGACCTTTGATTGAATAAGACTACTGCTTATTCCAGAGGCTGAGGCCCAGAGTTGCTGGTGCTCAAAGGTAGACCATAGCCGACGTAGATTTGATCTCAGGGACTGCACATTGAAACAGACAGGGCGTTGAGGCTCGCATTCAGGTCTGTAGAGCAAGTCCATCTGACAGTAAATTTGTTTTGTTGCCTTTTGTGATTGAATGTTAGAATAAAGCAAAATGTGCTCTATCGTGAGTGCCTTTAGCAATCAGAGCAAACTCTCTGCAATCTAAATTTGTAATTGATTGTACAAGACTTTCAAAACAATAGTTCTCCTGTGTCTAGGTATACTTTGAGTGAAATTGTTCCTATTTGATTAATATTTGGCTTGAATTGATGATTCAATCACAAAAGTAAGTTCAACAATTTTCCCTTGGAAAATCCCTTGT